GGCTAAGGACACCGAACGGTATGAAAGGGTTAATTTTTAATCAGCAACCAGAAGCATGGGGATTGAATGCAAATGCTGTTACCCAGCACTGGCTCCGGAGCCCGAGTAAGGAGACTTTTAGATAGCTCTCCCGGCAATGATTTACAAACACTAATCCTTCAGCAGCGGTTCACAAAGATCGACAGATTGATAGCAACGTCTTGTGACATCTGGGGCCTTGTGCTTTGCTGCGTTCAGCTCAGGATTTTAGAGTAAATTATCGGTCCTTCATCCGGAGACCACAGGTACAAGGATTTATGACTAAACTCTTGTCTGGCCTCTTTCATTTTCTGAAGGCAAAACTGCAGCTTTCTTTGCTGGAGCTTAGGAGATCTATTTTTAGAAAGTAAAAATCAGATTAGGTATTGTATATGAGCATGCCAAAGTCTTAAATGCAGATATGAGATGATTCTTATTATCTACGTTAACGGGGAACCAGATTTTGCCTTACACCAGACAGCAGCTAGAAACACAGGGTTTTACTCCGCGTGAGAAACAAGCAAAAATCAGCGACCAGAGCACCTTACCCCATGTAACACCAGTGTGCCTCACGGACAAACCAGAGACCTTACTGAGCTGGGTGCTGTACGTACACAGCAAAGAAACGACCCCAAAAGCTCAATGTTTTAGAGCTCCACCTGAGGAACAGGGATGCTCTATTTTAGTTTAGCAATACCCGTTCATTGATTCAACGTGTCCATCCTACCCTCCCTTGATGTTTCCACTCCCACTCATGTACCAGAGGGACTTACTGAAGAAAGACTGTGGATGGATACGACAAAAGTGAAGGATGAAAATAAAGAAGAGGTCACACCTTAGTGAAATGATTACGGCTGAGACGAGCAGCAAAGCTGCTAGTTACGGGACCAGGGACCAGCAAAGTACCAGTCCTCAGTACACAGATCAGAAAAACAGAGGCAAAAAGGTTAAAGACCTCCACAAAGCAAATTAGTTGCTACAAATCAAATTCATTTTAGGAAGCGAGATGTCTAATCTGAACTACTCATTTAAGCCTCTACAATTAAGAGAGAGCCGTAGCTGCAGAGGTGGGTCGCCCCACGTCCCTCTGGAAGTGGCTCCCCTCTTTTCCACTGACCAGCAACCCTAGATGCGTTGATGGTTGAAGTTACATGAAATAAATCCTGGCACACCAAGGAAATGCATCTTAACATTTGTTTCTAAGCTCTAATCACTAATTACAAAGGTTGTAAATGCCCTCCAAAGAACAGAGAGATATTTAATTACTTTTTGCTTTAGACAGATTTCCAGAAATAAATTTGTATTTTATCCTGTTTGTTCTCAGATTAGCATGGGACGGGTTTAATTGGGCACAGTGGGGAAGTTAATATCCTTGGGTGAAATTATGCAGAGACTTAGATCCTCGGCCACCCTACGGACATTGCATGTGGCATAAATTAGCACAACATCTTTCCTGTTAATGAACAATGAGCAACTTTTTTCCAGTAATTTTTTTTAAATGTTAATCCACACGGAATTTCTTTAGAAGTCTCAAGAAATTATCCACAAACCTAAACCAAGAGACTTTTCCATAGGCTTTACTTCTCACACGAGGAGAGTTCTGCTTTATCTCAGTCACACACAGGCATACACTGCTTTTAACGCAGTAAGTTTCTGTGGGTGCAAACTACAAACTATATTAGACTTGGTCAGATCTTTTCCGATACAACCTTGTTTTCTCTGGCATGAAATGCAGATTCAGGGGCATCACAATCTTTCGTAGGTCAATTCTGCATGGCTCGCTGACCACCTCAGCTGCCTGCTCACCTCTGTGTATGCCCTGGCTTACACCATCCATTAGCAAAGCCAGATGTCCCAAAATGTTGATCAAAATGCTCTATTTCTTTTCTCCCAGAACTATTTCTAAGTCTTCACAAATTAAAAAAAACTTTTTTTTTTACCATCCACATCAACTTAAGAGGAAGTTCTTTGTTTCCTTTTTTCTTTCTTTTTCATCTCAAATGCAGTTTTCTACAAAGGAAGTAAGAAACTAAGGAATTGTGACCAACTTTATATGTATTTCACAAACAAACACATATTATGCATTTGCATGAAGGAACGCTGTGGATCCAGTATATCAAAATGCAAAGAAAAACTCTCTTTCTGGACGTTACGCTTTCTCCTACTTTTTTACCACAAGTTAGCCATATGTTTTGCAAAATGAGACTGCAATAATCTGGGAGGGTTGGAAAATTTCTAGTGAAGCTTACAGGTTTCCAAACATGCCTGCCTCCAATTTCTAGATACTCGCTGTAACAACATCAGCAGGCACATCTGCTGCTGGGTTCTCTTTATAGCAAAGGGTTGAATGCTCTGCTCTGTTCTTCTTATCAGCCTAGTTTTCAAGCCTGTAGATAGTTGGCTATATCCCATCTCTCTGATGCAAGTTCAAACGAAAACTGTGTAAATGTAGGTCCAGGGAAAAAAAAGCTACATTTGCATTGTCCTAAAAAAATGAGAAGCTAGATTTCTTTTTCTGTATTTCCCACTCCTTCCATTACACTGTCAGGACCAGCCTACTTAACAAACATGATGTATGAGCTTTCTCCAAAAAAAAAAAAAAAAAAAAAGAGGGAGTGAGAGAAAAACCTTTAAAGGAGGAAGGTTTCTTTAGAAAGCTGTAATTTTAAAAGCATTTATCTTGAATCACGGTCAAAATGAAAACGACGGCTGCTACAGCTGCAGTCTATTTGAGCTACTGTTTCTTTGCTGCTCTTCAACAGATGTGCATTGAAGATGAAACACAAAATCATATTTGCTATGGATATACTCAAACGCACAGCAAGTCTTCTCACAAGCCAAGCAGAATAGAAAATAGAGCTGCAGCAGTCATTTTAACCCGGAGCAATGAAAGGCTCAAACTTTTGGTCTCTGAACTTCAGGCAGAAGTATTGCGCACACACACATATGCCCACCTGACCGGACACAAACAGAAATCAAGGGACACAAGTCATTTCTGTCCTAGCGACAGGTCTAGATGGACCAAGATTTACCACCTCTGAAGCAGTGCCCCTGATATTTTTAGTGCAATCACATCCTCCTGATACTTCACTGTGATTTATGAACAATAATTTTCTTTACAAAAAAGAAGCACTAAACAGTTTGATAATCGGGAAAGAAAGTATGAAATCCTGCGGTAATCACTTCCAGAGCAGTCATTCATTATGCCAAAGAGGATTACGACTGCAGCTTGTTGGATAAGCAGATGAGCTCTTACAAATTAAGGATGCTACTTCCTTGGCAATGCGAAGGCCAAAAGCTGATATTAAAAGGAAAAAAGTACCACAGACAGTAAAGGCCTGAATCTGTGATTTGCAAAATGTCCGGACTAATAATTAATACACAGCCGGGCTTTACTGTCTTATTCCAAGAGTTTATTCTGTTTAATACTTCTAAACTCCAAGTAATCTCAAGGCACAGAGACGCAATCGGCTTCTTTGCAAGACCTTTTACTTTTCCAGCAGCTGGTTATGGCCCCAGCTGACCGGGATCAGGGCCGGTCCAGGTCTGCAGAGCACGGCTGGGCCATGTCCAGCCCCATCGGGCCGTGGAAGCTCTCCAGTGCTCCTGACTTCTTCCAGCAGGATCTGTACGTCTATACGCGGAGGCTGGGAAGCCGCTTTCACGCACTCTTTCTCTGTTAGCAACGAGCTGTACACAGACAATATTGCTTTCAGATATAAGAATCCCCTCATGCAGCAGTTTTGAAATATTCCAAACCACAGATCCTTCAAAACATTTTACATATGAATAGGACATTGTCAGCTCCCTCAGACCCAGGCTGCACTTCAGCACACAGAAGAGTAAAATACACATTAGCACTATAAAACTTCATCTCAATTAGCATAATCTGTATTTCCATTATAGAGCCCAGCTCTACAGCCAACCTCGGGTGATGTACTGAGCACTCTGGATCTGTCTTTCTCTAAGGAGAAATTCCCCAAACACAAGAAAACCATTCAGAGCAGTGAATGTATGAGCTTTCAGTGCCCGCTTATCTTTGAGCGGTTCTACTCCCTTCCTCTACCTCCTTTCCATTGCTCCCATCATTTCAATGAGTTCAATTAAAAACCTCGTGATGCACTTTGTCTACAGCAAGGAAATGCAGTCATGCCTCACACATACCCGAGTGGATGGGCCAAGCACACCAGCTCCACATCCAAGAGGAAAAAGGAGTGAATGAGGAAAGATCTTCCTGTGATTTTACTTCCAAGGAGAGCATTTAAAGGAGAATCAAACCAGGCAGCAGTTGCAAATCACACATCTTCTGGTATCACTACCGAACAGGATGCTCGATAGACTAAAAATCTTAAATTGACTGAGACTCTTCCTCCAAATATTATGGATATGCTATAAAGCACAGGATAGTAATATATACGAGGCCACTGTGCAAGTGGAATAAACAGGAATGAAGGAACTTCACATTATTTCAAGGCTTCAGAATACTGGATACCTATCTGACCTTTATTGGTAATAATAATATTTCATAATTAGCATGCAAAATAATAAGCTTTGGTTTCAGTCACTAATAACCTGCCAAATGCATTGTGAAATTTCTAGTAATGTTGCAGCTGGTGACCGCTAAGTATCTAAAACACAGGATCACTCCGACAGCACGACTCGGAAGGAGATGGACACCAAAACTGCTAGGCAGAACCATGGACTTAAAATGTTTTTCCACAGGAAACAAATTCTGTTCTCACACTTGTGAGGTCTCATGCAGAGAAGGATAGAAAGCACTGAAGAGAGAGGCAAAAAAAGAAAGCATCCTTTCCAGAAGAATTCCTTAAAATAATGCCCAATGAAGCTGTAGTTCATCTTTCAGAAAGACAACTCATCTTCTTTCTAAATTTGCCAGGAGCAGAAAATCCACCTTGGGAAACGGGTTTGATGTCAAACCCTCCTCTCCAAACAGACCCTCTCGCTGAGCTGCATTGACTCACCTTCCAGCCACCGGATCACGCGGTGCAGCTCTCCGCTCCCCACGGCCATAGCTCTCTTCTCTATGCAAGAACTACACGTTGTGATCAAGGCACCCCTTAACTTTCCATCATTCCGTGCAAGCTTTCTCAGCAATTCCTCGCTTCTCTTACTTTCTTCCGCACGCGTTCAAAGATAACACCACAATGTTCTGAAAGCAGGGTGCCCCCACCTCACACAGCACCGCAGCAAAGGCTGCGGCAGGATCCGTACAACGAGCAAGTACAACCTTCCCTCTCCAGCCCCGGACTGTCCTTACATGTGTCCGGGCAGCACCAGCTCTCCTGGGGCCCAGGGAGGAGGCAGGCCAGCTAGCGAACCATCCATCATCCTCAAACCCTTTTCAAACCTCCCTTTCAACAGAAGAGTGTCCTCGACTCAGTAAGCATCACTTAGGTTTTATTCCTCTACACACGCACCCTCACTAAAATTCACGCTATCTGCTGCCACCCAAGTCACTAGGTATTCACGGCTCTGTACTAATGACTTGCAATTTTGCTCCTCTGCATTTACCATTGCCCTAACTTTTGCATCCTCTGTAAACCTGATCAATAAATTGCTATATTTTGTTCTGGATCATAAATTAGAACATTTAACTAGAGTCAGCCCAAAATCTAGTCCCCCAAGGATCCCATGGGAAATGTATCTGCTTAGTGATGACTTCCCAGTTACAGCTATTTTTACAAACTGTCAAGCATTTTTAAAATCAGTATTATGTGTGCCAGTTTGATATGTATTCACTTGCCAATTTAACTTTTGGTTTATTCATTCCCATATGCACCTGTATGGGAGTGATTCTGATATTCAAATATTGTATCATTAAAACAAAGGGGGTCATCAGCTTAGAGAATTCATTTTAAAACATTTACTTGTGAAAAAAGTTTAGGTTAGTTTTCTGTCTTTAACCTTCCAAGGCTGCGGAGAAGGCTTCTGTAATGTATTACAGTCTTGCTTTGCTCTCAAGTCTGCGTGAGTTAATTTTATCACAAGTTCTCGAAAGCTGAAATGGCGAAACTGCATTTTAATTGAAAATACTTCACACTTTCAGCTTAAAAAAATAAAGCAGAATAAAAATTACAGTTTAAGTGATGCTTTCTCAAGCCACAGAGTTGAATGGCAGATAGGACTGACCTGGAGGGAACAATCTCAGAAGGCTGCTGCTTTTGGGGTAATCCTTAACGTTCTATGCTGAAAACTCCATTTGTCTTCATTAAATATTAATCAGCCATTACCAAGGAGGTATATATAAAAGCTGTGTTAAATAATAGAACCCAACAAGTGAAAAAAAAAGATTTGATTTCAAATTTACAATAAGGGGTTATCACATATTACCCCTTTCCAAGCTGAGATAAATCATCTCAGCTCCATGAACTCAAGCTGATCTCTGTCCTTTTCCATGGCTGGGAATTGCACCTGAACTGTCTACAGCGAAAGTAAGATTTACTGAGATCAACTGCTGGAGTCCTCAGCAGGCAAAGCAGTCAAAGCATCTTATTCAGCTGGGAAGGACACCATTTGCGTGCATATGTGGAGCTATTCATGCAGGTATGATATGAGTGAGTATGTTACATCCATACATGAGTGAATATATACATGCATTATTGATGTTGACATCGCACACCAGTGTTTTACCTACCACCAGATGCTGGTTATTTTTTTATTTTGTCATTACTTCATTTTCAAGAGTTGTAACATGCTGCATCATGTTTTACTGTTCAAATCCAACAATTAAATGGCAGTTTATTCCAGTTTCTCCTTTCCATTCTCTGTATTTTGCTCCTATCTTTTTCATTACAGGGTTTCCAGGCTGAAAGCTTAAGTAATATTCAGAGAAAACGGCAATGTGAATTTTTCATCTAATAGTAGTCTCTTATTTAATAACCTTTTTTTTCCAGAACACACCGCCTTTCAACTATTCTATTTAATCAAGCTCTTGACATATTATTTTCCTGTCAAAACCTATTCTATTCTTCTGAAATCTTTACCCTCTCCTCCCTGACCTTTTCTTTCCCCCCCCCCCCAAACTATTATTCCCTTTGGCACTCTGCTCCTGCCCCTACACACCCTTACCAACCTTTTAGGCTCGTTGCCTGCCAACCATTTCTCTTCCCTCACCTCTTCTAGTCTTCCACCACCACCCAGCTCCCTCCCACCGCACTCCCAAAGCAAGAGGCCAAGAAAAAAAAGAAACCATCTCGCTCCCTGACCTGGCCACCGTGCCAGGAACGCGGGTCCCACTCAACCCAGACCAAGGGGTGGCAATGGGGGCAGAGGAGGTGGCAAGGGGTGGTGGGGACAGGAGGTCCTGAAGGCATGGGGACTTGGCTTCAGTTGCTCAAGAAGAACCAGAAAACAGCCTCTTCCCATGTGTCGTCCCCCCCCAGGGTTTCCGGGGCTTTAATCCCATCCCTGAGCCCGGCAGGCCTTTTCCACCATCTCGGTGGCCCGCTCCCAGCTCAGTGCCGTCGCTCCCCGCGCTCCCCTTCTCTATTCCCAGGAGACCTCGTCCACCCAGAGGCCCTACATTAGCTAAAACACACAAAACGCAAAATAATGAACAAGAGGCTTTGAGAGGCAGGCTGATTACAAGACCAAGAGCTACAGCACAGGGAGGCCAGGAGGCACGCCTGGTTTTATTTATAGTTTTTACCCAGCGCTTTGTTCTTCCTGCAGTTAAAGCAGTTAAGAAAGATGACAGAGTTCGAGGTCAGGAGCATCGTCACAGGCACACAAAGGCACGATCAGACAAGAGGTTCGGCAGCGGTGCCGCTGCGTGCTTTCCCGTTTCTCAAGAAACAGTAGTTTTTCCTTTCCATTTTACACACTCGCTTTCAATTCTCTATCCTATGTGTTTAAACAAAGAGCAGCCATCTCCTCAAACAATTAAAGGCCGTGAGTATGGAAAATAGTCCCAGACTTTGCATGTTACTTTATGGCAGGATACACAAGAAATTTACTCTTCCCACCAAGGCTGCACTGCAGCTAAAATCAGTGTTGGAAAAACAAGGATTTCAGGCAAATACAAAGGGACTTAGAAATTAAGACTGCCTATTACCTCTACCTCAGCTATGAATGTTTTCTTGAAATGAGAACCCTGAATAGAAAAGAAAATGAGAAAACCCCAAGTTGATAACCCCACTGTCATTAACCTTGCAGGAACTGCATTTGCTATATTGTGTTTGTGGCTACCACCAAATGTGTGCTAATTTCAAAGGAGAGCTGACTGTGCGTATTTAAAAAAAACAAATCCAAACCACTAGCACCAACTAATTTTGCTGCTCAAGACCTTAGCTATATTCTTCTTGTTGTTTTGCATTGCCCACAAAATAACGAGGGATACAAAGGCTGTAGATGAGGATACCAGTGCATCTGAAAAATCAGAGCTTCTAATCACTCTGAGGTAATTGCAATATAAAAAAAAAAAAAGAGTGCAGGGTGAAGGTAACCAGTGATTTTATTCAGATCCTCCCACATGAACAGAATTAATTCCATGCTCTGCAGATGTTCATTTGTGTCCTCCTTATCCTATGGGGAAATTAAAATACAGGGTGGTTTGCTGTATACTCTGCTTACAATGTCAAGACAATTTAACTGCTTCTATTGCAGCTGTGCTATTTCCCTGCAAAGAGAGGACAACAGCCCTAATGCCTATGCCCTCCATCAGCCCACCCCAGCCCCAGCATCGAGGACCTCATTCAATTCCTGCCTCACTGAGGAATGTTCTTTTAAGTATGAGGCTCTCTTTGCTGTCCTCTTGCCATACTAGTAATGCTACTAAGTACTGGAATTCAAATAAACTGTCTTAGGCTACAGTTCAAGCTCTTAGGTATAATATGTGCTCGGGGATTTGGCGCAAGCTCCTCTGTAAGCTTCTACTTGCAGCTTTCTTCAAAACACCCTGATGGCATCAGCCACCTTTCCAAATATCACCCCCACGACAGCTACTGCTAAACACCAGTCTCCAGTTGGACAACGCAACATCAACCACCTCTTTTCCAGACCTGTTGTGCTTCAGAAAGTCCCTGCTGGAGCTGGTTCTTTGCATCGTGGCTTCTTTGCGTGGAATAGGTTGGGAATGCAACCTCCAGTTGCATTCCCAACCTATTCCACGCAAAGAAGCCTCGGAGAAGCCTCCTCATGGCCAGGTGGGAGCTGAATCTTCTGGTCTTCCTCCAGATGGTGGTCAGGGCTGGGGGCAGGTTGAGGCTCATCCCAACCTGCTCATCCCAAAAAAAAGCTGGCGGTCAACTCATCCCTATTTTCAAGTCAATCCCAAATAAAACACACAGGGCAGGAAGAGGAAAGGGGAAACAAAACAAAAATACAGCGAGTCCCAACCAAACGTAAGGGTTTCTCTCCTTCATCTGTTAGCTCCTCCTACAGCCAAAACACAGAGTTAAGCTATGCACATGACTAAGGGTTTCCAGCACCAGGGGTTTCCCAACGCTGTTTGTCTAATCAAAAAGTCAACAAGCTACATTGTGGATTTTTATTGCAAGGACAACACTGAGGAAGAAACCGCGAGACTTCATTTCCTTTCTCCCATGTTTTTGAAACAGCATCTGTTTGCTCACCACAGACAAAACAAAACACAGGCTTCTTCCCTCCCTTTAAACTAGAGATTAAGATACTCAGATCGACTTTAATATTGAGAAGCAAGGGACCAAAATGGTTCTTTCAAACCCAAACAGCATTTTTCTTCCCCACCATCCAGACACAACACGGTCACACCAGTCACCCAGGCTCTGCAATCTCCTTCCACAGCAGCAGCTCCCTCCCAGCAGTGCCATTTCCCCTCCTCACAGCAAAGCTTAGGTCAGGATTAAAGAGATTAATCTGAAACACAAAAGATATTTCACTGGCCACATCAAGTACAATACGCGAGACAGAAATTAGAAAAGCCAAAGGAAGACTTTCAGCTTCCCAGTAAAAAGCAGCCATTAAAAGCAGTCATCAAGGCCAGGCACCGAGCTAACCATGCACAGGGTGACAGCCAGCCCCACCACTTGTCA